GAGAAGAGAGAGACGAGGAGAGAGGAGAGAGAGAGAGAGAGAGAGAGAGAGAGAGAGAAACATTTCAGAGAAAACACTCCTCTCCATTTCATGCACGATGCATACAGGATCGAGCGCTGAAGGCAGTATAGATTTTAAGTAAGTAATAATGACAAGAAAAATAAATGTGCTAGACATCAAAGGTCATATAGCACTATGTATTGTATTTGTGTTGGGAGGTTTTAAATTCTTTATTACAATTAAAATGTTAAGTTTCGACGGTCATTTATTGTATTTAATAGATATAGGAGATGGTAGATGGGAGTAGGATAGGTATTGATGAGAAAGGGGAAGGGTTAAGGACGATGGGGTGATTAGATCAAATGAAGGATATTTATGCGTCTGAGGAGAGGATAAATTAAATAAAAAAAAGGATTCTGTTGGGGGTTGGGGGGTCGGGGAAGAAGGGATATGTGAGGAAAAGTAAGGATACGGGCTTCGGTAAAGCGAGGACAGGATATTAGAATATGTGGGACAGAGAAAAGGACATTGCATGTAGGGCATAGAGGTAGGTTAGAGGGATGTGACATGAGGTATGAGTGAGTGATTCTGGTGTGGCTTATTCGTAGGCGGGCAAGGGCAGTTTCCCAACGTCTGTTTTGATGGTATGGAGCTGACCAAGGGGAGATTGGTGCACAGACCTGACCAGAAGGATTGCCATCGGTTGTAAAGAAAAGTTTTGAAGTGAGGGTAGTAGTCGGTGGCTGGAATGTGTGAAAAACGGGGTTGGTGACTTGTGGGCAGGGTAGCAGATCGTGCTGTTATCTGCTTTTTCGTTGCCGGGAATCCCATGGCTGGGTATCCAACAAAAATTCACTGTTTTCTGTCGTGTAGACAGATAGAATAGCTGGTCGTGTATTTTATGGGCTATAGGATTGGTAGGGTGTATGGATTGTATGATTGATATTGAGTTACGTGAGTCAGTGAAGATGGTGAAGGATAAGGAAGAGATGGAAGATATGCGTTGTAGAGCAAAGAGGATAGCATATAGTTCTGTTGTAAGGACGCTTGATTCAGGTGGAAGAGGAAAGCTGTATGTCTGAGAGGGAAAGACTACGGCAAAACCAGCACCTGAGTTGGATTTAGACCCGTCAGTATAGATATGAGTGCTAGAGGAGTCATATAAAGATATGAGCAAGGAAATGTGTGAGAAGGATAGAAGGTGGAATGTTTGACTTTGGTAGATCAGGGAAAATAGAGGAGCAATTACAAGAGACTGGTACTAGCCAGGGAGGGAAAGTTTGGGTAGAAAGAGGAAGAATTCGGAGATGAGGAAAGGATGAATGGGAGAGAAGAGCGTCCATACGAACAGGGAAAGGGACAGGTAGTCGTGGAGAGGAAGATAAGATGCGAAGAAGAGGTTGAAGGACAGTTAGTTTGGAGAGTGAAAATTGGTTTTCTTAGGGACAGAAGAGCGCGTCGTCTAGAGAGGGATGGTAGTCCTGATTCAACGTATAGGCTCTCAACTGGAGAGGATCGGAAAGCTCCTAGGGCTAAGCGGACACCGCAATGGTGGATAGGATCGAGGAGAGAGAGAAGAGAGGCAGGTTGTTGGAGAAGTATAAGGAGAAGACTCCAGGGGTTGAGAGAGGGAGACTGGGGAAGGTGGTGAAGCATCAGGAAAAATGTCTGGAGAGAGGGTTTGGAGAAGGACACTGTTGATAAAGAGTATTCAAGTGGAAGTGATAGAGAGGATGGGGTATGCTGAGAGGGTGTAGGAGGAAGGGGGGTGGAGGGAACTTGGGAAGGAGGAGGATGAATATCTGCAAATACTTTAAATGTAGCAGGAGTAGGAAGAGAGGGAGGTGGATGAGGAAGCGGAGTGTTCCCTTGGTCATCTTTAGGAAGTTTGGTGTCTTCAAGGGTTTCTGGAGGGAATTTGGTATAGAGACCGAAAAAAAAGTTCGCATGGAGAAGAGATAGATATCTTTTATCTGAGGAACAGATGAAGAGGAAGGTGTAGGAGAGAATGTTGTAGCAAAGCGTGGAGTGGAACGTTTAGGTTGTCTGGTACGACAAGTAAAGTGAGGAGGGGTATCCGGGAAGTAGTAGAGATTGGAGTATCTGGATTTAGGATGGAAAATGGATACGACTGGTGGATAGGGTGAATAGACATAGGACGTAGGGTTTGGGTTTAGGGAAAATACCTGGGGAGATGCATAAATATCTTGTGTAGATGGTGGGGGAGCAGAGCGTAGGACTATTTTGGAGTAAGTTGTGAGAGAAAGACCTCGTCGGCGTGCTTCCTGTCTGGCATCACGTAGAGTGAGGCCTAGTTTAAGTCTGAGGACTGCTACCTCACATTAAAACTTATAGGCAGGGCAGCTCCTATAAAACACATTATGGGAGTCTCCAAAATTGTCACATGTACGTAACTGAACTGGGCAATTTGAACGGTCATGACCAGGTTGGGCACATAGAGGGCAGCGGGCTGTGGAGCGACTATGTTTGGCTGGGTGGCCAAAACGCCAACTTTTTTTTACATTGACAAGGAAGGGGTTGATATTGTCGGACATGATAAGACAATCCACCAATATAAACCTCATGAGGGAGGTCTTGTCTATGAAAGCTAATCTTGGCAATATTGGCGTGGGATTTACGTTAGCCTCTAGGAGGAAAAGTGTAACACTGTACTGCCACTGCATCATATTCTCCATGGCAGGAAAGTAGGCCATTTTCAGTCTGGCCAGTCCTTGTTATACATGTGACAAGCATTTGGGGAAATAGATAACAGTTCCAATACAAGTATTAAGAGTTGGGTGAGGTTCGGCAGGAATGGGTTTGCCAGTAAGGTCAGTCAGGGTAGATAGTGCACGAGCTTGGGCTTTAGATGTAACCGTAACAAGGCGTGAACGATCAGAGCGACTGCGAAAGGTAACCTTGCCTACTTATTTCTGGAGGCACTGCTGAAAGAGAAGGGTATTTTCAGTATAGGGGGCTGTGAGGGGAATCAAAGAATCGATCCCACTTGGCTGGGCCAAATGATGTATTCAGAAGGTTTGCAGAGGTAGAGGTAGTAGAAGGACGAGGGCGAGAGGAAGATGGGGTGGTGGTGTGGAGTGGAGTACTTCTACGGGGGGGGGGGGGGGACAATAAGGATGAAGAGTAGTAATAAGGGAAGAGGGAGTTGACATTGAAGAGGATTGTGCATCAGGGGATGAAGAAGAGAATGTTGGGGATGAGGAAGAGGTGTTTTCTAGGGGTTGAGTAATAACCTGGGTGGATGTTTCAGAATGGTTAGAGTTGTTCGTAAGCGTCGAAGAGAGCGTATTAGCATCAGTGGTCGGAGCCGTGGTCAAAGGAGGGGCAGCGGTCGGAAAACCATCAAAATCAAATTCAGATAGGCCATTTTGATGAAGGGCAAGCCTTAATGCCCTATTAAGGGTAAAGAATCATTGTTGACCATGGCGAGCCTGAATAAACTGGGGAAAAGAAACGTTCTATCCCTTAGGGTCCCCATAAGAGGTAAGGGCTAAGTAATTAACCAAGGGAATACCGTGCCAATGGCTCCTGGAGGCCGTTCATGACTGACACAAAGCCAGCCTTTCATCCTTTCAGCACGACTCTCACACCTTAGGAATGGGATAGAACAAGGAAATGAAGATACGAAAGAGGAAAGAAGAGAAGAAAGGACCAAGCAAAATTAGTTGAGGCAAGGGCCGAATCCCAAGGTAGGGGTAATTCTCTAAATATAGTTCTCAGTCCCCGTCACTTAAGCCTTCCCACGACGACAACAAAGATTTTGGGAGTGCAAATAGTGAAAGAAAAGGAGTTTAGCCGTCAAAGTGTTGTTTGAAAAGGTCATCATAAATAGGTATTTGCTGCATGTTTTCCCAACGGATCAGGAGTTTGCAACATGACAGTAATGTGGGAAATTTTCTTGCTATGAAAATAATACTGGCTACCATTACAGTGATTGTTTTAAGTAAGTCATGATTAGAATTAGGATGAATTTGGAAAGCCGATGTAAATTCAAGAAGATATTAAAGGGATTTAAAAAATGTTGGAAACCGCTTTCCTTCCGACCTTTCAAGTCACTAAAGGTCACGTGACTTTGCAGTTATGACCCTTGCTTGGCTTCTCGTTCAGGCTGCGATGGCCACGCCCTTGCACCTAGGTTGTCATCAATTTCTATTTTTTTTTTCTTTCCTGTTTTTAAAACTATTTTTTCTACTTTTTCTTCCACTATATACATATTTTCCCCTTAACTCAAAACTTAATTAATGCCCTATTATGGGTAAAGTATCTTCATTATTGGCAAATGGGAGCCTGAATAAGATGGGTCCCCATAAGGAGTAAGGGCTACGCAATTATCCAAAGGAATAACCAAGGTGCCTTTCGACAAGTTAGGAAGTGGACAGGAGATGAGAAGTAAAAGGAAAGGGGAGATAACCATGCAAAATTAGTTGAGGCGAGGATGAGGTCCATAGTTCGAGTGACCCCCTACATTGGGTATCTCTCCTAAGCCCACAACAGAGACGAGAGAGAGAGAGAGAGAGAGAGAGAGAGAGAGAGAGAGAGGGGGGGGGGGGAATGATCACTGGCATAGGGCCTCAGTCTGCATCTTCTAAGCCCTCTCACAGTAATAGCAGGCGAGTGATTGGGGGGTACTGATATGGCAAGGTTACAAAAACAGAAATGATATATTGTATTGGGGGGGGGGGGGGGGAAAGCCCTGTTAACAATTATTCATTGAAGTGTGAATTGCCAGGCTTTGCAGTAGTATTACAACAAATATATTGTCAGGATTAAAGACAAACAACATTCCTAACCATTAAACAGAACATATTCAGCTTGTCCTTCACATTATGAATTTTGCATAATATTTTGTATTCATTATCAACTTCTATTATACACAACTTCATAAATAAAGATAAAATGGCAGGAGAAATGATCATTTCAATTCACATCCAATAACCCTTCTTACAATATTGCCAATAACATGGTAAATAACACAACTGTCAAAATTCGCAAATTTATTTAGAACCTCAGCTTCTGGAAAAGCCAGCGATTCCTGCCAGTCTTGTACCTGAAAAGAGGAATGGGGACAATTAGATTTGTAAAAATACCAAGAAAGCATTACTGTATAATCCAAGCCTCGTACTGTAACTTTCTATGCTGGTAGGAGAAAATTTAAAATGTATAGGAACATTCTATATCTAAACGATCATTAGGTTCATTTCAACCTCTACAATCTGGGCGTCATGATGATCACATGAAAAAAATTAGCTCTAGGGGCAGGTGACACAAACATGCCATGGAAAAAGTTGGCTGAGGGTTGATGGGACATGAAACTTGTCATGAGAATTTCAACTGAAGGGAATGACGCGCCACGAGTGCAACAAAGGTCTTGAAGGGTGATTAGACTAAGTGGGCATTTAGAAAGGGGCTCTTGCTTTTTTCCTTTCAGTAAACAAGTATGGAATGTACCATCCATAAGCCATGACTGGCTCCAGGTAGAACATTTCCATGCTCTGGATCTTATTACTACCTGCCTTTACTGGCAGCAAATGTTGCATTGCAGAAAATTGATTTAAAAAACTTAGTTATTGAACGAGTTATAGGCAACCAAGAGATGATATGGTTTGTATGAGGAAGAGTAATACCATCTGGATACAGCATATCAAATGACAAATATAGACATTGGAAAATGAGGGGGGGGGGGGGGCTGCTTATGCAGAGATAATAACACTGCAAAGGGGAGGCATGGAGTATTGACATCTCACAAGTATTCATGTGCACCCCGTCTACAAGTCACACTCCCAGGAAAATAACCATTCGAGTAAACCTACTGCATGGATCTTGATCCATGAGCATGAGCAAAGCACCCAGATTCAATAAAATAATGAAACAAGTGTCAGTAACATTACTATCTTCACTAAATAAACTTCATTAAATGTTTAATATATGCCCTTAACCAATTAGGATGTAGGCTTACCTTTCTTCAAGCTGAGCCTTGACAACCTGGCGCAGCTTCTGCCTTCGGCCAGGATCCTTGAGTACCTCCTTGTTCACCTTATCCTTGTTAAAGACAATATCTGTGGTGGTGTAACGAGTGGGCATCATGTGCTTCAGGTTGACGATCTGTGAAAAAATAAAAATAAATAAAACTCCTATTATGAGAACCTACATCAGTTCTACCTTTCCAACAGCTTCAGTTATCAGATTCATATTAGTAGACTATTTATGTCAACAACAGATGGTAATTTTGCCATTCATCTATGCTGAAGTAGTGTCTGGAAAATGTTTGTAACATGTATAGTAAAATATACACCAACTGCTCTACCTCCCTCACCCAACCCAAGAAAAAAACACATAATAGGGCCATTATGGTGGATATCTACTGCTTTTGGGTAATTTAAATTAATCAGATTTTGAAAAATATCTTGATCTGGTCTTAAGACTTTTAAATATTTTTTTTTTAACCAGAAAATCATTACTTCATTTCAAATCAAGGGTTTAGTCAACAATTAAGAAAATCCTCCATGGTCATCCACAACAGACTTCCAAAATAAAAGATAAGCCACCCAATTGTTAAGAAGGAAAAAAAATCACATCCAATAACCCTTCTTACAAAATTACCAATAATATGGTAAACACCACTGTCCAAATTTGCAAGTTATTTAGAACCTGAGCCTCTAAAAAAGACCGCAATTCCTGCCGGTCTTGAATAATGACAACTGCTCATATTCAAGAGTCACTTAGCTCACCTTAGATGGAGAGCCCGACCAGTATCTCGCACATGTCAGCCAATCACCACTGGCTGACGGCTGACAGGTGCAAGATTCCTGTCCAGCTCACCATCTAAAGTGTCCCAAGTGGGTCTGAATAAGAGCATTTATCTTGGTACATCGTTTTAATTTCTTTCTTAGTAAAGCTTTCCCATCTAACAGCAAGTTTCCTACACCACATCCAATGTGTAAAGTAGGGGTGTTCAACTCAAAACACTTTGCAGGCCAATTTTCCTTTCAGCTACCATCTTGAAGGTCAACAGAGGTGCATACCTAGCTTCCCAGGATTACCCTATTAAAACTAGGATTATGTCCCCATACGCAAGTTTGTTTTACTTGTCATATTTCAAATACTGATACTAATTGATACATTATGTCCTCATATGCAAGTTTGTTTACTTGTCATATTTCAAATACTGATACTAATTGTAACAAATTGTAGAACTTTTCCTTCATAGTGATTATACTTTCACAGGCTAATAATTCTTGTTACCCTGCAGGCCACTTATGATCATCCCAGGGGACACAAATGGCCTGCAGACATGACTGACACCCCTGGGTTATTTCACCTGTTAAAAAAGTTTGTGACATCTAAAGACAAAGGCTTGGCTTAATTATGTAAAACAACCGACTAAGACAAATAAATGTGCTGTAGGCCGAACATTAGAAGCAGGCCACATGTTTGACACCCCTGGTTGAACAGATCCCACCAGCTAGTGAAAGGTTATAATTGCTAGAGGGTTTGGGGCAACATGGTAATCTCTACGGTAACATGTGCACTGATGTTCACCTGTTCCTTAATTCAAGTTATGCACTGACGGGGTAACATGTGGACGTCTGAATTCACTCTGACTTCCTCTTACCATACAGAGCATATTCCAAGTAATTCTTTTCTTTTAAAAGGTGATATATCTACACATTATCAGAAGGGAGGAGGGAGGGTGGATATCCTTATGTTATTTCAAGGAATTTTGTGCTGAAACTTGGTAAAATTGTAGTTGAACACCTTTTAATGTGATTTTAAAAATCATTATTGCATATTTCTAAAGAACATCCTTTAATATTAAGAATAGTCACTTTCAAATTCAATTTCCTTCTCATTTCTCACTTCAATATGCCGGCTGATGTCCTAATAGATTACTCAGGCAACTTCAATCATTTTCCTTACCCTGATGAAAGGCTTGAGAGTAGACCTGCGGGCAATCTTGCTCTTGCTCATTGACTTCTTGACTCTGCGAGGGTAGCGGTCAATGCCTACAACCAGGGCATGCTCGAAGGGACGGTCACGGGTGCCCTCCTCGTTGGTCTTAACCACGATGCCCTTCTTGCCGGTGTGACGGCCACCAAGCATGATAACCACGCGGCCGGGCTTGAAGATCTTCACCATTGTGCTGGAAGGTTATTCAATTAGTAAAGGTGTTACAATATCAAAACTAAAGTGTAGTGCAGGCAACTAAATTCACGGCTTTCTCCTAGTGGTCTGACAGATTCTAATTTCTTAACAATGTTTGTGACAAGTTATTGCACAATGTGTGAACACTACACGAGCTCCCATTTCTGCTGCATGGTCAAATTACATGTTGCACAAGGTGTTTCTGCTAGACCAATCTATACATCAAACTTTGTATATAATCAAAAACAACCCTTTACAAATTTACAGCCACAATAAATTTAATGGCAAATGTTAAATAGTCAAGCTTGAATGTTACTGGCATGACCTCAATACACAATGCTCCAGGTAAGGCCACTAAATGCTCAAAGACATTCTCACAAGGTATGAAATGGCCCAAACTCACAGCAATTCATTATCACCTCTAGCCAAGACCTTTTACCAGAACATTAGTGAAGGAATACGCAGCATAGAAGCTACAGCAATTGTTGTACACTGTGCCACTAATCTGCTGGTCTCCAAACAGTAGGCCATCCATTTTGTTTAATATAAAGAACATTTATGGCTACATACAGATATCAAAATTCTTGTCAAAAATAAGGTGACGACTATGGCAGAAAAGCTCCCTCTCCTGGAGACATTGTGGTGAAAAAAGCAATATGACATTCTCTCGACACAAGATGCTATTCAACTAGGTTAGATTTGGTTAGGTTAGAACAGGTTCATACTTATTACCCAGAAAGGACATTTGTATGCACATACACATGTGTACAGTACCCCTAACCACGAGAAATCAGATACAGCAGTCATGCACGTAACCTCAGCCAATCAAAAAATCTCAGTTGTAGTACTTAATTTTGTCAACAGATACTATAAATCAAATCTTAGGCTCAGGGCACACATTTAATGTCTACAGCAGCTGTTCTTTAAAACCTATTCCTCTTCCCACTGTATACTTTCATAGCCCTCCTTTAATTTCGAGCCATGACAAAAAACGTACAGCTTGATGAACATGTACACAGCTCCAATGCAACCACAAGCACTTCACCCATTGCCATGTATTTATGGTCTCTCACACACGCTAGACTTGTAGTGAACAACCTGCTGATAATTCCCACTCTGCAAAATGCTGAATCTGCTTCTAGTGAATAATATCCAACACCTACTTGTAAACGAAATTGTATAAACTTGTGAAATGCTATTTACGGTGGCAAATGTGTGATCTTACCAAAGGACAGTTAAAAGTAACACGTGCGACAGACGCAATCAAGTAATATAATTTTGTTTTGGTGGCTCGTTAACGCCCTAAACTCTCTTGAAATGAAGACTCAGTCCAAACCACGTTAAATGTCTTCACAATATCATAGTTGTGTGATATCCACCCACTGAATGCAAGTTCGTAAATATTAATCACGTACGGAGCGGTATCGAATTGTTTTTAAATTAGTATTTGCGATTCACTCTAGCCTCTTGTTTCACGCCACATGAAGATTCGTTCGAGTTTAAGTACATTTCCGTTTATGGTGAACACTAAATATACTATAAATAATCACTCGTTCTAATATAACGAGGATACTCAACATTGGAACGGTTCTGAGAGCTTTAATAAACGTGGGGCAGATATCACAACATGGTATTGTTTACATTCTCACTCCCATGGCCGCCTTTCATATCTGAACTTTTTCCATTTTATCAAACAAGACCCAACATCTTCGTCGTTTCTCCACACTCTATCCTATAGTTCATCTTTATATCAACCTGATATGCAGAAGAGAACGTCAGATGATGCTTGACTAAAAGGATATTCCTCGATATAAAGAATCTTTGCGCAACACAGTATATTGAGACTCACACGGACTCTCGGCGAAAAGAAAAGGAAGAAATGCCGACTTGGCAACCTCGACTAACACGGTGGTTCCTTTTCGATTTTCTTCGGCTGTGGTTTCGACATCTCTTGAAAATATTTGGGTGGTTTCAGTTGTTGAAGTTTATTCAGATATGCTTTCCTATATGTGTGCATATGCTTAATAAGAACGAAAAATGATTAATATAACTTTTGACGGGATAATGTATAGTCTGCAGAACTGTCATCATTTATTACCGCTATTATTATCGTATTTTTCTTGTGTTTCCATCACGAAGTATTTCAAAACGTTACTCTCAATCATGATATTGATTTTATCGCTGAAATTATAAATCATGACAAGAGAATGAGACAAGTAGATAAATTACATCACATTTCTTCATCCATAACAGGGGTAATCTTATATACTCATCAACCATTTCAAGTTCATCAAAATGAACCTATGATTACTAAATCGAGAAGCACATCAAACAGAGTCAACAAAAAGCCGATAAAGTTTAATGAACACCAAAATGTGTATTGCAATTCCTCAGAACCCCACCTGTTTCTTTCACCTTCAAGAGCGACAAACGTAAACAAAGTGTGAATGAGAAGCACGTTCATTCAACCTTGAGGTCTTCCCTTAATAACTTTTCTTCCCTTTAGTTTGTGGATTTCCTTTATTTTCTGCATTTTTACTTTCTCAGATTGAAAGACGGAGGTAAACAGTTAATGCTTCGCTATAAATTATGCGTGAGGTTACATGTTAAGTAGCATTTTGTGTGTGTAAGCAGAGGTGGGCGTGTAATGCATAATTTATTTCTTTTTCGGTTTACTTTTGCAAAGTGCAAGGTTATAGTAGTATCGGTAGCTAAGGTTGTTGCATTTACTTGCTTTTGTTATTTTTTCATATTAGTAATACCCGTGATACTTTTTTTTTTACAAGTTAAGTGGATTCTTGTGTCAGATTTTTTGCTGTCTCATCAAAGCTAACAAATGATTATACAGTGGTACTTAATAACAGTTTCAGATTTGGAGTAGATATTAATACTTTTAACCTATGAAGGACCTCTTAGTTCTGTGCCATTTTGAAGCCATAAAAGTAAAATTTTCTCTTGATAGTTCCTTTAGAACAGCAATTCCCATGTTATGTCTCCCTTCTAGAAGCAATTAGAGCCCCCAGTTTTCTATAATTCATCAAGGAAGATATGCTTATACATTAGGAAATGCCCAAGATATATTTCATTTCCACCCATACTGAATTGTGTGAAACTACAGTGAGATCTTTGGTGTAGCCTACACCAACCAACATTTCCTTTTCCTGGTTGAAACAGATGCAATTAGCACTAGAGTATTGAGAAAGAGAGGAGGAAGGAAGGGCTCTAGAATTTTGATTCAGTGTATGTATGAAATTCTGTTCTTTGGATCTCTACTCTGCAAGATGCATTCCTTGTTGCTAATGCTAATTAGCCCCTAGTGGATGGATAAATTTGCTATAAATCCAGTTATCAGAATTATACAAATGATTGATGATGATTATTAGGGGAGGCTAGAAATTGATGAATTTACCATTTATTTAAATTGGTCACTGGCAGTTGATGTACACAAGTGATACTGTGAGGCTTTCCTGATTCCTGATAACTGGTAACAACCAGTCTAGGTACTGAGACCCATATTTTCTGCCCATGTGTATGTTACTGTTGGAAAGAAAGAAATAATGTTTGTATGTATAATATCTCAATGAAATATTCTGTATATTTATTTATGTATGTATAACTGCATAGAACCAGTATAACTATCTGCTGTCAGATAACAATCTAACCTCATCCTCATTATCTCAGATATCAGATAATTTTCGGTAAGGCTAGCTGGCATCTTATTAGCCATGTAGAAATCATCTTTAAAAGACTCTAAATTAGCATATGGTAAAGCATTATTGAACATGGGTTCTTTAAAACTTTGATTTGAAATATCTTTGGAACAATAGATCTAGAATGTTTAATGAGTGCTTTCACCATATTTTAACTGATAGATCTTCTCACTGATTATGCCTTTGTGTATTTTACGGTTATGTGGTCTTGGTCATTTCATATAAATATTTATCTCATATTTTAGACATTAGAAATTACAGTAGTATGGGTAAAGGTTTGTACCCTCTCCCCCAAAAAATCCAAATATTGAAGTTGTTTTGATCTACAAGTTCTAAGGAATACTTTCTGACATTCCTTGTTATTAGAGCAAAGGTTGTCAGACGGTGAGAGAAAAGTAGGCATTCCTGTTGTGATATTCTACTCCATTTTTTTTCTTCTGTTAGTTATGCAGAACATATTATAGTTATTATTTATTTGTCAGTCAAAAGTGTAGCATGTATAATACATTTGCATCTTCACAGATTTATCCCATGCTCATGTTTGGGTTAATAATGCACAAAGAAAGTGATGTGGTCTGTTAATAAATTAATTTCTTGATTCTGCGGATTAGAAATTTCTAAATTCATACTTTTCTTTCTTTCTCCTTTCTTTCTTTCTTTCTTTCTTTCTTTCTCCTTTGTTGTTTGTTTCTTTCTTTCTTTCTTTTTCTTTTCTTTTTTCTTTTTCTTCTTTTTTCTTTTCTTTCTTTTCTTCTTTTCTTCTTTCTTTTCTTCTTTTCTTTCTTTCTTCTTTCTTCTTTCTTTTCTTCTTTTTTTCTTTCTTTTTCTTTTCTTTTCTTCTTTTCTTCTTTCTTTTCTTTCTTCTTCTCTTTTTTTTCTTTTCTTTCTTTTCTTTCTTTCTTTTCTTTCTTTCTTTTCTTTTCTTTCTTTTATTGTTTTAAGTCTTTATCCCAGTCTGTCCCTTCAGTGGCCACATGCCTACTGCAGATGGGAAAAAAACATGCCCCACAATTTTTTTTACATCAGGACTTTTTATACTTTTGTCTTTTCTTATTTCATTATCTACTTCAATTTCTATGATGTATATTGAGGATCATTTTATGTTTGAGTCAAATATACTCTTCAAAAGATACATGTGACAGATGATACCTCATAAAAGTCACATGCCCTATGCCCTTCTTGAAAAAAAGTTATAGATATATAAATTAAGAATAAAGAGAAACATGCTTGATACCCCTGTTTCCTTCTGTGTGTGTCTATTCCTGTATCTAAATGTCTTTTTCCCCCTAAACTATAATTTGCAGTTTGTCTATATTGGTGATTTAGATAAGACAGACTCCATATTGATTGTGTTGGAGCATAGGATGGTGGTTTGACCCCTTCTTGTTTTTTCTGTTTGATCAGGTGGGATGACTGAGAGGGAGGTATCAGTCACAGTACTGTTCTTTGCTGGAGCACGTGAACTCGCTGGCATAGAGCGTGCCACTCTGACCTTGACAGCAACGACAACCCCAGAGCAACTCTTGTCACAGGTTGTCCGGTCCTTTGGGGAGCTAGAGAAGATCAGAGGGAGTGTTATTGTATCACTCAACCAGGAGTACTGTGCGCCCGGTCAGGACCTTGTTCTTTCAACAGGAGACGAAGTCGCAATCATCCCCCCGATCAGCGGAGGTAAAAAGCCCCCACCCAAGGATTATAATTCTTTTCTTCTTTGGTTAAATTTGCTTACAAATAAGGTTGCTGCTGAAAAAAAATGCTTGCAGTGAAGGCATGTGCATTACAACTGTGTCATTTTCCCATTTACTTCATAGATAGTTTTTTTGTATGTGTGGTTCACAATATGCTAGTAAGGTATCTCTGGGCTTAGAAAGTGGACGTATTTGTCTCTGAATCCTGCCTCTTTGTTTTTCAGTATTTTCATCTGTATGTTTATACTGTCATGCATATGTAGATATGGGTTCACATTTGAAATGTCTATGGAGAAGATTAGGACCCTGAGCTCAAAATTTCTAAAAGTGTCTGTGTGTAAGATTACTATAGGAACAGGGAAGTCAAGCAGGGTTATATACAGGTCATGAACTCTCCCTCTGCAACTGGACTGCCACAGAAAGCTGGCAGTAATGAACACAGGTATGTTCAATTCAAGGAAATGATGGTGATAATAGCTATAAATTGTCCATGGGAGAAAAACGTTTAATGAGATTAGTTTCTCTGAGAGATAAGCCTAATTATAGGCCTTCCTATTGCATTACTTGGTTAGTTATTTAGAAGTTAGGTATTGTGCACATGGTTCATTATGATAGCCATTTTTGTACTGCATATGAATATTGAAAACTGATTCAAAATTTGTTTCAGAATCTTGCTTGAGATATAATTTGTGATAATACACCTATTTAATTTTATGCAGGCTTTTTACAATGACCTATACTCCTTCCTTCTACAGGCTAGATACCTTACTATGGATCACATAAAACTGACCCAGGAAGTGCTGTCTGTTGATGAGGTAACTCGCCTTGTCACCGATCCAGGATGCGGGGCTGTCAGCCTTTTTGTTGGTACTACTCGAGACAACTTCCAGGTTAGGATATGTCTGCATTTTTGGGGATTAGGAAACTCCCTGAATAAGATGTATCTAATGCATGGTTTATATTATGATGAACATACATTTATCCTAAGTGGGCTTGAAGATTATGCCTGAATCAAATATTACACATATATTGTTTCAGAAAGTACCCACACTGTGATATCAGTTATCATAGTGTGGGCATGGCATAATCAGAACCTAAATTTCTTCAAAGAAACAAAGTTATAATAATAGGTATCCCTTTAAACTTGTGTATCTATGCAGTGTATTAGGTATGTCTTCAGCTTGTTGAAAAAAAGTAACATTAGAAGTACAAATGGATATTTCTTGGCCTTTTTTCTAGCATTATGAACCTGTGTTTTTTATTATTTGCTGTGTATTGGAAACCTAATTTTGCTCTATAATTCTCATTGCATGATGATGTGTGGTGAAGTCAGCTCCGTAGCAGTTGCACTGACAGTGTTTATATGTTAGATGAAAACATGTATATTTTGGATAGAACACATTCATATGGCCTCAGTAAGCATGTTACATCAAAGCTTCAGACTACATTAATCCGGTCTCCCTTTTCAGGGTCAAACTGTAGTGAGGTTAGAATATGAGGCGTATCAAGAGATGGCAGAAAAGGAGATGCTGAAATTATGCAAAAGTGCAAGAGAAAAATGGGCTTTACAACATATAGCCATCTACCACAGGTACTGCATTGTATTGATGCAAAATATTTTCATGAGTAATTTAGTCTTTCAGTTAAGATGGTGTGTTTATGGGTGTATATTGATATTAGGGAAGGAACACTTACTATTTACTATTATTATATACATCATTTTATATAAATAGCATTTGCTGAAGCATTTGCAAGATGTGTCATTAGATAGATGAAGAGAGAAAGAAGACAAGATTCTTATGAAAACTTTGTCTCTCCTTCCCAGACTTGGTGTTGTCCCCGTGACAGAGTCGAGTGTCATAATTGCCGTCAGCTCTGTACATCGCCGTGAGTCTCTTGAGGCTGTCTCATTCCTCATTGATGAGCTCAAGGCAAATGTGCCGATCTGGAAGAAGGAGATCTACAACAATGGAAGCGGTGACTGGAAGAAGAACAAGGAATGCCAATGGGCCAACGGCAAGGGTCCAGAGGCAGAGACAAAAGTTGACAGCGAGGAAACGTGTTCTGGCAAAAGCACGTAGTCTTTGATGTTTCTTGTCTTGGAGGAAGTAGAATGTGAGGCATGAAGTTCGAATGTTGATGAAAAGTTCCTTTAGTTTGCAGAGTTGGAAGCTTTCATAACATTTTTCTTTTGTGTCTACTCTTGTTACTGGTATTCAGACTTCTGTTTACTGATTATTGACATTTTTTGGATTCCTTTTATTTACTCTGTGAGAATTGGGAGCTTTAAAAAGACTTTTTTCCACTTCTATTTTTATTTTTTCATCCATACTAACCATTTCTTTGTTTATCGTAGAAAATTTTGTTTATAAAGTTCAATATTTAAAATTTTATACATAACCAGAGCATGCATAGAGCTTAGATTAAAAAGAAAAAAAAATACACAAGCTGAAAATAACTTCTCTAGACTCTCAAAAAGTGGAGAGTGATGTGCTGTGAAAGGTTCTCAGGCTGAGTTTCTGTAACATAAAGTATCACACCCATACAGAATATTTGTTCCTAATTTGCAGAGATTATGATGAATTGTTTGCAGATCCTTGCATTATTAAGACAATATAGCTCATAACATGTCTAACCCACTATCTATTTAGTCTGTCTTCCCATCTGCAATTTACACCCCGATTTTAAACATTCCATGATGGCACATTTTGTTTTTGATATTTCATGCATGTTTCATGGACTATAAAAATGTTTATACGCCGTCTGTCATGCGTCATAAATAGCACGATAAAAAAGACACACAATAACATTTTTCATTTGTAAAGTATTCCATAGATAATAAAAAAGAGACAAGACCCATGGCTTCATGACTGATTCAGAGAGGGGAGGAACTGTAAGGGGAGTGAGGGAGGGAGCATGGGATGGTGACTGTGGTTGCAGGAAATTTGTAAGACGAGCAGTTACTTATACTATATACAGTGCATATGCCTCATCTGCAGTGTAGAAGACATGGGGAAAAACAACCCACATGTTTTGACAGCTTGTGCATAATAACTGTGGTGAACAGAGCTTTAGGAATTAATGATAGAATGAAGTTGTTAGTTGATATAGATATATATAAAGTGGTGATGGTTTAGATTCAGACTAGCTGTCTCACATGGTCTTATTTCCATACTGTTTACAGTATTATTTACAGACTTTTCTACATTGAACTTTTGGTAATGATGATATTCTGGTTGCTACCTCTTGTTTGTTATAACTTGTTTCTCAGGAGATCCTGGATATAAATAGGAACAGAATGGTTAGTTTGGATGTGGTAGTTTGCAGAATATGGATAAGTTCTTGCAAATTACTCCCCAAATCACTTCTTTACCAAAGTTTATGTCAGGAATGTTGCTAAATGAAGACAGTGCACATAAAGGCCATTTCAGAGCACACTGAATGGCACGTTTTCATTTATATATTGATATATTTCAAACATGGCATCTAAGTAAGGGTCACAAGTGCAGTATATTTAACAAAAGCATATGTAAATCTGAAGCTTTATTTCTTTCAAAAGATAAGATTTTTTTGAGAGTTCAAGACTTGTCGAAGGAAAGATTCTCTTGGATGAAGAATCTTTACTTTGCTAATTGTTACTCCACCTTTGTTGATTGTTTAGCGTGTTGATAAAATTGTCTTGGGCTTCTCGATGTCAGAAAATTATATAGATTATATATATATATATATGAATGATTGATATAAAAGTGCCTTATAGATATGCTAAATAATAAAGGAAGTATTTGATAGTTTTGTGCTTTATTTTCTTATTTTTCTTATTTTCTTATTTTCCATTATATCTGCGTGCAGATGCACGCACACAAGCACACACACACACACACACACATGCATGTTCACACACATGCAACACACATACACATACATGAGTGCACATATACACATGATTATATATGCGCGCACACACACGCACACGCACACACATGCACACACATGCACACACACAGATCATATAATATTCAGATGGAATTTTAATATATAAATGATCTTAAAGTTGAGAAAAACCTACAAGGCAAGAGGAGTAACAAAAAAAAGAAAAAGAAATGGAAAGGGAGAATCATAACAGACCAAAAGAAAGTGACGGCAAAATACTCTGATTATTAACCCTTTGTACATGGGTAAATGTACTGTCTACTGTAATATTTTGTGAATGCTGTTGGTTAATAGTTCAATGTGACCTCACCTGATTTCTCCATTCTTAAAATTTTTGGAGATTTTTGGAGGCATTAATATTAATGTTGTTATCATTGACATTAAAATGAGTTTTAGCATCATTAAAGTACTAACAGAAATTAAATATTAAAACAAATGAAAATCCAGAAAAAGATTTAGCAATTGACATAGGTAGGAATGGTAACTGACTCCTTGGTGACTAAGTACCAGTGGAGTTATTTTTATGTAAAGACAATTTATAAATCAAAATTATGGTGTAGATGGCATGTATGTCATACCACCCCAGCACAAAAAAAAAAAAAAAAAAAAAAAAAATCATATACTAGTTAACCTAAAGATAGACTAACCAATATTTAAAATAAGAGTTGAACAAAAGAGGATGAACATTTTAACAGTATCATATAGGAAAACAAATGTAGGGGGATGGCCATGGCACTTTTACTTAGCAACTGTCTTTACAATGTAATCTTGATCTAATGGATGACTTACTTTTTTCACAAAAATGAAAGTGATACAAAAACAAAACCAAAGCTACATAAATATATTGCTTATATTTGAATGTGTAATCACTGCTCTATCATTTTATAGGCCACAATTATATTAATCAAAAGTTCAGATTGTTAAATTTATGTTTACATAGTTTTACATTTTTATATTGAATATAAAATACATGTTTACTTGAGTTTTGTCCTTTTCTTATTTTTTGATAAATAGTAGATTAATTTTTTGTTTGTCATACTAATCTCTTTATTTTTCTGTACGGTTTTTGTATGATGTCTTACAGATTTCATTATTTTATTGGGAACAAAATCACTTGGTGTATTGTGGTAGTAAGAATAGCCATAGCAATTAGTGTGGTATAGAACTTCAAATAAATTAATCACTATATTATGTCTCACAGATTTAATTGTGCACCTTTCACATATTCTATATTGTGTTTTTCTGATTTCATTTCAGTTCTTGTATCATATTATTCATGTATCACAGATTTTATTTCTCTTTTTTTTCAGGAGCATTAGATGACAATGACAACACTTGTTCACAACCTATAAAGAAAATCAAAACAGAACATTTAGATGAAACAAAGTCATTGGAATATTGCAGTCAGGACAAAGACTCAAGTTGCAACACAAGCAAAGTAAAGTGTGAACCTGATAACCATGAAACTGAGAGGAAAATCAATCCAGCTTTTGTACAAATTGTCGTCCCCAAAAAAGAAGTGAGTGAAATAATGTGTCCCGTTCCTTTGGTTGCGTCCTGTGATTTTTGTCTCCATTCTGGGTAGATTTAAACTGGAAGAAAAAAGTATGCCTTCTCCTTGACAAAATATGAATCCACTTTTTTTTAACAGATTTTCAGAAAGCATATGCCAGGGAAATGATATTATGAAACTACTCATGATATGTTCATACATGTATAGGAGATGGTTTTCTAAATACAGTTGAATATGCTGTTGCCTGAAGAGCTCATACACATTTGTTTCTGGTATAATTTTTTCTCAGCTGGATCGAAGAATTGCAGCCTTTCAACAGCGCAAACGACAGGAACTAGATGTCCTAAATGTACAAGAATTTTGCACGTTGTCAGGAGGTGCCTCAACCATGAGTTCTTGTGCGCGAACTTCTGCTGTTGTTCATAGGTCAAAGGATTCTAATAGTCATTTAAAGTGTAAGGATACAGAATATACTTGCTGTTTTTATGTTTTATTGTTTTCAGCTTTTGATGACTTATAAAAAAACTATTTGCTTTTGAAAATTTGTAAACATATCTTTATATTACCAGAATTTTCACACGTTACAGTTGATGAGAATATACTGCAAATGCATGTTACATTCACTTTACTTTTTACCCACAGTGACCAAAGTAGTGAATGAATGGGGTCCTCAGACAAGGGGCATCGATCCAGGCTCAAAACCCATTGGTGTGGTGTCAGTGAAGGAGGAAGAGAAAGGTTTGATTTGTATTTACTCATTGGAACAACTTTTATTCACATATAATGTATACAGGTAATTTGTTGCATGATCAGTGATTATCTTTTAAGGTGATATTACACAAAGATTTTCTCTGCAATAATTTGATTAGAATGTGAATGTTACAGGAGTGATAAGTTCACATGGAAGCAGCACTGACAACTTGCAGGAATCAAGCCGTAACATCAAGCAAGAAAATAGTTCTGAGTCGGTTCAGTGCAAAACAGATTTTAGAGATCAGCAAGGAGTGTTGCCAGAAGGTATGAAAAATTGTGAGCTGAAAGTGCAATCAGTGTAAAGTTGAACCTCAAGAAGTATATACTAAATAGGTGAATTTTTTTTAGTATGAGTGTGCCCTTTCACTTTAAGCAATGCAAATTAACATAAATCAGTATCGTAACAATGATTTAAAAGGAATATATATTTATAATGTTACAGACTTTGGTTTTCATCATATGATGAAATTACCATACATCTTCTCTATTACATTTTAATCCCCAAATTCTTTAAGTTTACTCTTGCTTTTTTTTTAACCAGTTGGCACTTAGTACAAGTGCATTGATTTTACACATAGCTGAATTCAGAAGCACTAATCATCAGGGAGATGTTTACTAGTTTTGCTTGATTTTAACAAAAAGGGGAAACATTACTGGAAAAAAAAACTCCCTCTCCTTTTCATTTTTATCTTCTCTGTCTTCCACTCAGGCATCGAGGAACGACTACACAATGTCGAGTCACACCTCAAGATTGTCCCGGGGGGTCCTGTGCCACAAGACATCTATACCCGACTCAAGGCTGTGGAGGATCGCCTTCTCCACCTCGAGGGAATTTCTCCAGAATACTTTGGAGATAAGGTCAGTTTTGTCTCATGATCTTTGCTTGCTAATTTTTTTTATGTTGGAGACAAGGTCTTCAAATATATGGTTCATGGTATCAGGTCAGTCTTGTGTTTATGACCTTTATATGCTTGCAGCATTAGTGCCCTAGAAATTTGGTCACAACTTTTATTGACATTCACTCACTCACTCACTCACTCACTCACTCACTCACTCACTCACTCACTCACTCACTCACTCACTCACTCACTCACTCACTCACTCACTCACTCACTCACTCATCACTCACTCACTCACTCACTCACTCACTCACTCACTCTCACTCACTCACTCACTCACTCACTCACTCACTCACTCACTCACTCACTCAACTCATCTCTATCTCTCTGTCTCTCTGTCTCTCTCTCTCTATCTCTCTGTCTCTCTGTCTCTGTCTCTGTCTCTGTCTCTCTCTCTCTCTCTCTCTCTCTCTTTCAGTATTCTAAGCCTAAATATGTGCAGGATCATTTTTTAAAATATAGTACAAACTTTGATATTCAGCCGTTTCTTACTTTTATTTCAGAAAATAAAAATCCCCGAGAAGCAGTCATATAAAAAGGAAATAAAAGCAGTTGAAGATGATGTAAGTAATAGTAATGATAATGGGTGTCAGTACTAATCATAATAAGATAATAATAATAATATAATAATTATTATTATTATTATTATTATTAATATTAGTTACCCTCTATTGCCAATGCAATAGGGGTAACTGATGAAATCATTAAAAAAAATTGTGGATACAGGTCATGATCTGGATCACCTACAAAATTTAATGGCATTTAACTTAGGTTAAATCTGCTCATAACTTTTTGAGTTATCTTACTAACTAACAAACTAACAATTAGATCAAAGTTTCAGGAAAAATGTCGAGAGAGAGAATTCAGGGAAGATGGTTGTGGTGACAAAGGGTCACTTGTTTATCCAGGGGAAATAGGAAGGGATAATCGGGAAGGAAGGGGATATGATGTAACTGAAGCACAGGGGAATGGGGTGAATGGAAGGGAATGGGAGGAAGAGGTGTAGAGGGAACATGAGTAGGAGAATGATGGATGGTGGAAGTAGAAGCAATGAGAGCTGAGAGATAGGAGGATGGATGTGGCGAAGGCATGTTATCTTAGGTCATGTGTCTTCAAGAGCTTCTAAGAAACAAGGGTTTTCTTATGAGAGAGAGAAGAGGAGGCAGACATTTTAGGGGCAGAAGGAGAGGTTGAAGTAGGAGAGGATGTGGTAGAAGATGAGGTGGAACGTTTGGCTTGTCTTGTGTGATGAATTGGGTGAGGAGGAAGAGGGGTATGCATCAGGGAAGTAGAGATTGGAGTTTCTGAAAGAGTGGTTGGAGATTGGGATGGTAAAAGAATTTGACTGGGAGAGTGAGGGGGTAGAAGCTGGATGAAGAGATACTGGGGAGATGTAGAAACATCTTGGGTGGGAGGTGGAGGGGCAGAGTGAAGGACAGTACAGGTGTAGGGAGAAAGGGAAAAACCACATTGGCATGCTTCTTGTCTGGCTTCACATAAAGTGAAGCCAAGATTGAATCTGAGCATTGCCACTTCAGACTCAAATTTGTAGGTAGAGCAACCCCTATAAAATACATTATGGGAGCCACCACAATTAGCATACGTGTGTGACTGTGCAGAGCAGTTTTATCAATCATGACCAGGTTGGGTACATAGAGGGCATCAGGCTGTGGAGTGGCACTGTTCAGTAGGGGTCGATGGGGGAGGTTGATATGGTCGAATAGGGAGGTACACTCCACAAAAATAAACATTAGGGGTTAGGTCATGTCTACGGAAAGTAATTTTGGCAATATTGTTGGACTTATGGCAGCCTCATGGGGGGATGGTGTAGCATTGTACTGATACTGGATCATAGTCCAAGAGGCAGGTGAGTATGTCTCCACAATCTGACCATTCCTTGTTACAGACTGGGCAGTTTGTTGGGGAGATGGAGATAGTTTTGATAAAAGTGTTGAGGGAGGGATGAGGCTAGGCAGGAATGGGATTGTCAGTGAAGTCAGTTGATAAAGCTTTAGCTTGGGATTTGGATATAACTGTGACATGGCTGGAACTATTGGGGTGGCTGTTGAAGGAAACTTTGCCTACTTGTTTTTGGAGGCATCACTAGAAAAGGAGAGTGTTGCTAAAGTAAGGGGCTGTAAGAGGGGCTCACAAAAAATCAATCCCATTTGGCAGGGTCAAACATATTATTCAAAAGGTTTGTAGAAGTGAGGAAGTGTGGAAAAGGGAGTATGTGTTGAGAGAAGTGGTACTGCAGAGAAGTGGACAATAAGGCTGCAGATTAGTAATAAGGGAGGAGAGGGTAGTAGATGAAAGCTGTGGGGGTGGAGGAGATGTGGGAGAGGAGGAATATTTTCTGGAGGTTGAGTAATGACCTGGGTGGACAATTTAGACTGGACTGAGGTGATAGTACTCATTAAGGGTGGGGTAGCATTAGCATTGTTCAGAGTTGTGGCTGAAGGAGAGCCTGGGGTTAGGGAATCAGGAGAATATACATCTGTGGGACTAGATGATAAAGGGGCAAGCCTCAGTGCCCCTAATAGGGCCATGGAAAGCCTGGAGTATGTTGGGATAGAAATAGCCCACCCCTGAGGGTTCCCTTGAGGGGTAAGGGCTAAAAAACTAAACAGTTGAATACCATGCCCATGGTTGAGGGCTAAGCCCCCCATGGCAGAACCGACATGGGATTGGGGGGGTACTAGTAATAGTGAAATAATAATGATAATAATAATGAAAATAATAATGATAATAATAACGATAATAATAACGATAATAATAATGATAATAATAATAATAGTAATAATAATGATCATTATAATAAAAATGGTAATCATATTAGTGATTATATTAATATTAACAGTAGTGGAAGTAATAGTAATGATGATGCTAATGATAGCAATATCAATATTAGTGACAGTAATCCTATATTCACGTGACTGAACTTCCATTCCAGATTTCCCTGAGTGAGATAGACCTGCGCATTCACCATCTCAAAATGAAGTTGAAACAGCGGCAGATCAAGCAGGTCATTTGAAGAGGACTCGGAGGTTCTGCCGAATTCTGTTTGAAAAGGATAATGCTGCTGCTGTTACTACTGTTGTTGTTGGTTTGTTGTTGGTTTGATATTTGTAGCAACATGCAAATGCTGGATTTGGTCTTGGCAGTGCTTCACGTTGCTGTTTCAAGGTTGACAATTTTCTCTGTATTTTGTTTGGCATTATTTTTTTTTCATTGTTGTTTTTCCTTGTTTTCTGTTACTATAGTTTTTCATTGTTATTTCTTTATCATTGTATTGCTTTGAAAACCATTTTTTGTTTTCAAAAATGGTTTACATATTCTCTTTACTTCTATCAAAAAGATATTGTAAAAACAGAAAGAAAAATAATAACCAACAGAAAATTTACATTCATTGTTGACAATAAAATACTTCGCAATTGTTTGAGTATAAAATACCTTATATGTATAAACTAGGCTGGGAAATGAAAGAAAATTAAAATTATTTTTTATTTATATATATATATATTTTTCCACAATCTTATAATTGTTGAGTATGTATTAAAAGTCATTTTTTTTTATAAATATACCAAAAGAGGTTGACTGCTATTAAAAAAATGATAAATATTGTGTACAAGATCACATTTAAATTGAGGCTCCTATGTGACTACGCAAAAAAAGGTAGAGAAATCTACATACCAAACTCTTTTTTTTTCTTAAAATTTCATTAACACCCAAAAATAAACAAGTATGAGACATATCTGCAGCTGTAATTTTTTTTTTTTTTTTTTTTATACAGTTAACACATCATAGAAGTTATTATCCTTTAATATTACAAACTTTGATAGCAAACTCATCTCATAACTCTAAAATTAGTGCTTTTTCATATCCTGTCATCCTTAGCTGTTATATGCTGATTAAATACACATAAAATAAACACCACTTCTATGCCCATCTGCTTCGTGGAATTTTATAAAATCTTTCCTGAATAAAAACAAAAAAATGCTTACATTACTAGATGTTGGAATGGGAAAATTTAAGGATTAGCCGTGTATCATCTTGCTCTTTCTCAAGTAACAGCCATTAATATAAAGTTAGAGGGTAATTGCTTCTCATTTTATTTCTGCAAGGGTTGGCTGGGTTATAAAATCTGAACCAGCATGACAATCATACACAAGATTATTAAAAGTGAGAACTACTTTCAAATTATATCTGAATTAAAGTGACAAAGATCGAACGACACTCTTACATTCTGTACACATTATTATGAGCCAACCTATGACTAGTCTCATCAGAAAATAAAAGTTTGCAACAATCAATACAGTAATTTTATATTACTTCATTCTAAAAAAAAAAAAAAAAAAAAAAAAATTGGGATGATAGAATACAGATCCTGTAATAAAGCTGTTACCATAATTTTGCTCGAAACAAATTGAGAATGTATAAAGTTCAGAAAAACCTACCTCAAAGGCTTGAAAACAGATTCCATATACTTATTACAAGACATATCATATGAATCATTTCACTTTTCACAGCTCAGACAACAATGAAATAAAGTATAGTCACTAAAGTTATGTACATCACAATCTTTTTTAGGACCCTTCTTTCCAGAACTGTGCCAGGCAAACATAGGTCACATCAATTACTGTAGTGTAACAATGAAGTGATCAAGTACCTCACTTAATGCTGCCCATGTTCACTCATCAAACAAATCTGACAAGAAAATTAAAGATTATGCTTTTAATCTTGTCTGGATCAAAAACAATTTAGAATCATCAGCTGCTGGAAAGTTAGTGATGTACATATATCACATGAAAACATTTAATGACAAATAGTCATAAACGTGAAATACTTGGCCATTTTATACTCAAGTACATCATAGTTCAGGAATTTACACATGAATAACTAAGACTGTAAATGGACTTACATGGTAACAATCAGAACAGAAAAAATCTGAAAATCCTTTATGAAAAAAAATGCAAAATGCCAAAATGGACATAGGTCTATTTGGAATGTTTCATCATCTTTATTTCCAACAAGAAAGGGTTCAAACCAATTTTTTTGCAATATCAAAGGCAATGTTTATAACCTTTCCATTATTATCAAGTTAACTGTCTATGAAGTTCTTAATACACTACCATATTTCTAAACTTCTTTTCTACACTTTTAGCTCTATTTGACAACCAATCTTGATGTAATCACAGATATATATTTAAAATAATGAACAAGACATCTTTGCATCCAAGATCATTTCAGAATGTTCTCTCTCACATAAGAATGAGACAATTCACTGCATTAATGACAGTTATGGCAAATCATCTAATATTTATTTTCATTATTTACAAACTCAAATACTAATGTACTATTTTCCAAACAAATATTACTAACAATACCTAAGTTTCTTGCCAGCACTATATAACAGTATCTGAATAGATGCACTGATTTCAATACAATTTTCTCACCTTACACATGAGAGAGAGAGAATGAGGAAAAGAGAAAAATTACAGGAGACAGCATGAGAGATATACAAGTCCCTAGTTCAGTGAACCCCCTGTTATGTCACTGCTACTTGTCCGCTGATTGCAACTGGCAACTTAAAGACAGCAAAAATCTATCTGTGGAAATGTATGTACTTACGGATTATGTAAATATGTGTATGTGAGTACATGTATGTATGTATACATACATACTATATATATATATATATATATATATATATATATATATATTATATATATATATATATATATAATATATATGTATGTATTCTTTAATTATTTACAGAATACAGTAATAAAGGTGAATAACAACAATAATTTAAACAGAACGGATACAGTGGTTTTTATATGCCACTAGTTCAGCCAAGATCACTAACTGAAAATTGAAAAACAGAAGTTTTCCCTTTACTTTCTGGAGAAAGAAAGAAGAGCTGGTAAGTTCTCCTTTGAATGACCCAAAAGGAGTGAGAACGGCCATTGCATCACTTGCAAGCCACCTGAGGAAGCTTATACCAGTTTGATAAATGTGGAGTCATGGTAACAAAACACCTATACACTGTCAGTACATCAAAAAATAGCAAAATTAAGTTCACTGGTTATCTGATTAAAGCAATGCAAATTTTCATTACTCTTCACTCTAAATCTTAAGTCTCTACACAATATACAAGACACTCTGAGCATCTTCTATGTAAATAATAAGTGCCTACAAGACTTCTTATATAAACAATCATTAGTATAAAATGCTATCCATAACCAGTAAATCACCTTTGATTGCAAACCACTATTATAACATTCTTGCAAAAAAAAAAAATATATAGTGACATGTTTATTCTACATGCATTTAAAGTCTCATAAATATGTCTTTGTTCCAAGAAACTGAATGGAATAGCTATGTGATAAACCTTTAGAAATACAATACAACAGATAACAACCATGCAAACTGTCATTTCTTTGAATCTTACAAATATCAAGCCAAAAGAAAAGAATAAAAAGAAAGGGGGAACGAAGTAAAAAGAAAAAAACAAACAAACTATTACCCATTAACAAAGCATATGCACGTATCAAAATAAGCTTATACCTATGACATGCTTTGGTAAACAACACTAGAGTACAAAGCCTGTACACTGTACACTCACATTCAGGCTGTTGTTCTTTGGGAAAAGGCAGAAGAGGCAAAAAGTACAGCTCCTTTGGCTAAATGAGTAATGGCTGTGTTGGAATGACCGAGTGATTTTTGTGAGGACAGACAAGGCAATTGACTCATTGCTAGTCCAGTATGAAGGGAATAAAAAGAAATGAAAGAAATATGGCCCTCCTATATATGCGCTTATCAAAACCTAAGATGCATATTTCTGTATCTGATACTAGGCTAATGCTGTAAGTGGAAGGTGAGATGGCATCACTACTTTAGTCAGTACTCATTTCATGAAGAACTTCCAGTAAATCACTGCACCTAGTATGCAACACTCCAGAATAATGATAAGAATCAACAGTATCTTATTGTACAAGACATTACGTGACATGGATCGGATAATCCTTTTGCTTCGGCTTAGTTCCGCATCTGTGTCTATGAGTCTGTCTCTCGTGCGCGTGAGTGTCTCCCTCTGTGTGCCCAGCTCCCCTAGAACATCTGTCCCCACTCTCTCCGTTTCCACTGCAATGGCAGTGGAACGTGCAATACTGGCTGATGTGCGTTCAAGGATGGCAGTGCCTTGTTGTACCTTTAAGGCAGAAACAGACTACATTAGTCACCTTACATACAATATATTCTTGGTGTTAGCCATATGACCAACTCTCTTTATATAAGAACAAATCTCTAAATATATAGCTTAATTCTTAAGGAAAGATATGGTGCCCTCACCTGTCTTCGCATTTCATTGTCAAAGTTGTCATTACTGTCTGAGTTACTGAAGAGAGCTGCTCTCATTGCCATCTGTGAGGACCTCTCCTGCTCTAGGCGGCCCTGGTACCTGCAGCAAAGCAAAAAGTATGAATAAGGAAAAATCAAATGACTTATTTTCTTTCATACATAATCAACCTTTTCATCTTGTGACGACCTTAGGGAACAAGAAAAAAAAGAAATTCACAAAGAAAAAAATTTGTGTTGAAAAAATCCATATTGACAAAAACTATAAAACCTCTCACCTTGTGACTTCATTTTGGTATCGCTGCACTTTATTTGCCATCGTCCCACGGAACTCGGCCGGGGCTTTTCTTGCTTCTATATCCATCTCGAGCAGGGAACCACTTGCGTCATTGAGGGACCTCTCAATTTCTGACAAGATGCGTTTCCTTTCTTCCTGACTCTTACATCTTCCAATGGCAAACTGAAGCGAGTATGGTAAACATTTCAGTGTTTGTGCATATATATCTTAATATATTAAATTTGTTAAAACTATATTATCTATAAAATTTCATAAGGATATAAATGTCTGGAATGTCATTCCTCAATTAAATTCAAAATAATCATACTTTGATACCTAAACATTTCAAAGAAAAGTCCATAAAACATTCAACTTTGCATATCAAAAGTTTCACATAAGAAACACAATTCACACACTGCAATCAACATTCGAGCATTCCTACCTCTAACTTGTCTGCAACTTGGTCCAGGAGAGCCTCAACCTCCTCATCCAATAACTCAAACTTGTGGGAGGACATTTTTCAAGATAACTGTAGAATTCCAAACTTCTCTAAATCACAGGTGTTTTATTAAAGAATTTCTTGCTGATTAAACAACAACACTGGAAAGAAGGAATATATATAATCTCACATCTATTCCATATAAAAATATACATAATAAATTGTTTATACAAAGTAGTCTTCAATTTATATCTGAGAGGGTCCCCTCACTACCCTAAGCCCACTATCTACGGCAGGGTTGTCAAACTCATTTACCCCAGGGGGCCACATCTCACTTTAGTATAAGGTATGTGGGCCAGATTGTAATATAGGTGGAATGGTTATCCCACTGGCTGGCACCACTTGTAATGTAGTGGAAGTGGAATTCTCCCACCATTACTTGGTAAGTGGAAGGTGCATGGGTGACTAAGGAATTGAGGTAGTGGCGAGTTCCTTGAGCGGTCTGAGTGTATGGCACAGGAATTGCCATGAACAAAGTTCATTTTAAGCAATAGACAATGGGAACCATGAAAAAATATGAATGAACATAAATTTAGAAACATCGGTTCACATGACCGTTTCGTGAAGTAGGAACAAGGGTATAGTTCACATAAATTAGCTGTTTTTACAAACTAAACATTGTGGTTAGGGGACAGACTGGCTGACTATTCATGAAACATAGAATATTTGAATATCAAAAATAAAAGCGGTTACATTCATAGTAATTCAGAATATGCATTTTCTAAGGAACATTTTCAGTATAAACATGATATATTTATACATGAAGACAAGAATAAAAGCATGGACAATGTATGCTCGCAATAAAGGTTGGATTAGCGTAATCTACGGTCATTCTGCGACGATGGGAGCAAGTTACTAGACAGATAATAGTTAGGTCGACACTACAAAATAGCAATGTGGTTGATGTGAAAATACAAGAGGCTGTTTAATTCATTACAAAAAGACAATAATAGAAAAAAACTATTAGAGTGTAAGTGATTACAGAAAAGAATATTAGATTCATGCATATTACAGCTTTGATATTTGAGTAATTTTTTTTGAATATTTACGCCAAATGAATCATCATGATTTTGGTACTGTTGGATTCCTCTCACTCTCTCGTCTCCAAATATCTCAGTCTCAACAAGTTAAAGTATAGGGCACTAAAAGTTAGCGTATATCACGGTTGGTTGTTGGGGGGAAATAAATGGGGGGTAAGGGAAGCTAAGTCTTGGTATTTTATGTATGGGATCTGAGAAGTGTTAGAGTAATTTTGCAGAGGATGTCTGTTTTATCTGCGTGTAAAATGTGTTATGGGAGTCCATTCCAGTCACAACTGGTGCGTGGAAAATATGAGTGGTTGAAGGATTTTGTTCATCAGATGTGTTTGCAAGGTGTAAGTATTCTTGTTTGTTTATGTCAATTTGGTTGCTTGTGATTTTGTACATAACTGTTAGTCTGTGTGCTTGTCTCCATATTCAGAGGGCATCCATGTGTAACTGTTATTTGATTTGTGTTGCGATGCCAGGAGTTTTAATGTAGTTGTTTGTAATGAACCTGGCTGTTGCGGTATCAATTTTACTTAGTTTGTTGATGTTTGTTTGTGTGTGGAAGTCCCACACTACTGTACAGTACTCCAGTGCCACCATATAGCATACTGCAAAGCATGCCATGTGGTCCGTGTCCATGCCATGTGGCCCGTGGGACGCGCAGCCCACTTGCGCTCGCTTGCGCCTGCTGGTCAGAATATAAGGGTGGCTGACCTTGACCCAGCCTCACTAACTCCTAACGCTCCCTCCGAGAGCGTCCTCATGCCCGGCTACTGACCATGCAATCACCGTGCCATGAGGCCGCGCCCAGGCTTGGGCTCGCTGGCCTCGGCTTCACTCAGCACCGCCAGCATAGCATGTTCTTCCTATCGTGATACTCGTGTATTTAATTATAAGTGCGTGTTACTCTTAATCAATAAAGAGGACAGCCACATCAGTGCATCACTACTGCCACCAGTAATTCAATCAATCCATATAAGGGGACCAGAGCCTCTTACACACCGAGCCATTAACCTGTTGGTCTCTCCTGTAGGCCTTCCCTCACTGATCACATGGTTTCAAGAGGAGCTGGTCAGAATACATCCAATATCATTAAAAAGAAGACATATTTTGAAAACTACTACTGTTGGCTTGAAAATATTCACCCTATTTATGCATACATATCCTTCTCTGAAGATAACTTTGACAATCGTTCCAAAATAATCACAAAAAGTAGGCCACACGAACTGAATCCATTGTTCTTTCACAACCAACTAATTTCACTTATTTGCAGTGTTCACACCAAGACACTTTACAAAAATAATACCCTTTTCTCTTACCAACACCCTCGTCCACCTTCCAGCCCCTAAAACACCAGCAGATCCCCGAAATCATGAGAAAAATGCCATGATTTTGATTTTCGTGAAAACCAATCTTCAATGTTTACATGGGTTCCTCCTACGTTGGTGTTGCCAAGTTAGCGCTTTCGTCGCTTGAAACAATAATGGGTTTCTCTACGTGTTATTTTTACTTTTCTCTCATTTTGAATCATATCTTGTGTTTTGGTCTTCTACGTCTTACTGATTTTTGAGATTGATAATGTGTTTCTACAGGTTTGATGTAAATATCCATTAGTAGGTGGAAGTAGCAACAATTCGCTTAAGAGTTGTTTTGTTTTTGTTTTTTGCAGCGTTTTCTCTCAGGCTTTGGTGCCACAGACATGCAATGTACGTAGATTTGATTCTACATATTAAGCTGTTGCAAACAAGGTCTAAGTAATATAGAACGATTGCAAATATCCTATTCACATATAACAAGCTACACATGCACATACACACAGCATACGCACACACACGCACACGCACGCGTGCACGCAGACACACCTTTAATAACGGTAGGCGTGAGGGAGAGAAAACATGAAGTTAGAAGAAGAAAGTGGAGGAGAAGGACGATTAGGAGGGGGTGAGAGGAAAAAGAGAAGAATATATATGTGTGTATATGTGTCTCTGTAGCTATATGTATACCTACACACACACACACACACATTATACATACATACATACACTTCACACACACACACACACACAACACACACACACAACACAACACACACACACACACCCACACACACACACACACACACACACACACACACACACACACAAACATATATATAATATATAAATATATATATATATATATATATATATATATATATAAATATATATATATATATGTGTGACAACACAAAAATACTTTGCAGTAATG